CATAACATGCAACTAGGAGATACGAGCCCCGCCCACTCTCATGGAGATTCGGGCCCCGCCCACACTCCGCTTTCTAGGAGATTAGGGCCCCGCCCACACTCCACTGTCCGACATGCATACAAGTATCACACAGACAACAAATATATCTACTCCTATCAATCAATCACATAACTATACTCAAATAATACTACGAGTTTCGGGCCTCGCCTACACACGGATGCTATGAGATTCGGGCCCCGCCCACACTCAGCTACTATCATATCATATATACCGGGCGACCTTGGTGCCGTAGACCCGTTCCTACTAAAGGAAACTCACCTCGTAAGACTGACTGCTGAAAACTCGAGTGAGGAAACTCTGACTGCTGCTCTGGCGACTCTCCGGCTATCAATTTCATAATAACACTTAATAAAAAATATTATAATCCTTCCTAGGGTAAAATGACCATTTTACCCCTGGTCAAAGTCAACATCCTGGTCAAAGTCAAAGTCAAAGTCAACTCGCAGTCAACCCCAAATCGTCGAGTTATCTCCCAACTCGGCGAGTTCATGCACTACTCAGCCTCGTGGTCAACTAAGTCAACTCGTCGAGTCCCTTCCCAGACTCGTCGAGTTCTTCCTGTCATAACATCGGGACATATCGACTTTAACTCGTCGGGTCCCTCATTGGACTCGTCGAGTTCTTCAACTTCCGAGTCTTAATCTTGTCCAACTCACTGAGTCATCTCCTAGACTCAATGGTTTCACTCACAACCAGAAAAGGGGGTTAGGGTTCACGACCCGACTCGCCGAGTCCAAGAACAACTCGTCGAGTTCTCCATGTGACATATCCATTCAGTCGATTCTAATCCATTCCAATGCTTCTAACTCATAGATCTGGACTCCTTAGACTAGCATTACACGTAAAGTTGCTAACTTTACGTGCATGCATGGTGTTATGAAGCTAAAACACCCAATACAACCCAAAATGAAGGTCTAAGGTGCTGTTTGTTTTTTCGAAGCGAAAATGTCTTAAGTCTGCGGACCACCTCTGCAATCGTCTGTAGCAGAAGAGGTGGAACAAAAGGCTGCAACATTTAATAAAAAGTCTGTTTGTTTTTTAACGTCTGCAGACTGCTGCAGTAAGTTAAAGTAAGGCGCGAAGAGGTTTGAAGCAGTTGGTTTAGTGCTGCGCCGCGCAACACACGCGCATCAGTTTTTAAGTCAGAAGTCTTCAGGAAAACAAACAGCTGCGAAAAGCCAAGTGCTGCGCGTGTGCTGCATGGCGCACCAATAAGTGGTCTGAAGTGGTTTTTTTAAAAAAACAAACAGCACCTAAGTCATAGAATAGGGCCATGGTTGAATAAAGGTGGCAACTTTGAGCTTCTAAAGCTCAAGAGTGCCCATATCTGAAGTCCTTTCATCCCCAAGAGTTCAGATCTCGGAATGACCTTGGAAATAGCCCCAAAATGACAACATACATGCTAAGAAGGAGATCTAAGTGAATAGCAGCCAAGGTATAAGCTTTATAACCTCTATGAAGACAGAAATGAGTCCTTAGCTCTGGATCTTCGACCTTCCTTCTGCAACTCCAAGCCTTTGCTTCCTTCTTCTAGCTTTAAATCACAAAAATGGCAAGAAATAGCTCAAGATCACTCAAGGTTGATTAGGGTTTCGAGATTAGGGTTTGGAGGTGATGGAGGTTGGGGTGGAGGCCAGATATGATGCTTAAATAGGGTGCAAGCCCTAAAGATTAGGGTTTCATCCAGACTATCCTACTCGTCGAGTCAGGACTTCGACTCGTCGAGTAGCTCACTTGAAACCCGCACATATTCTGCCTTCTACTTGATGAGTTAGGGCCACCAACTCGTCGAGTAGCCCTTCCAAAATAAATAAAATAATAAAGTTAAATGCATACCAGGAACCAGGCGTTACATAACCTCCAACACCTAGAAACCTAAACTCTAGCCCTCTTTGAAGCTATTGACTCATTTGGTGTGTTTTTGTGGCCTTGGAAGGAAGAATAATGAGCTTTTGTGCATAGATCAAGCAAGCTACTTATCTCTACTCCTTGTGTGCATATTCTGGATCATTTGTGAGTTCTCAAGTTTTCATCTTGATGATGGTTAACTTATAGATTTAGGTTATTTGGTATGTTTTGGTCTATAGTTAAGTTTTGGATGGTTGAAAGAGATAAAGTTTGCAAATTTATAGTTCACTTTGGTCCCTTGGTCATCATTTCTGGATCTATGAATTGGTAAGGTCTTGTTTCCACATTTCCACAATGGAACTGGAGCCCTCAACCTCAACTATTCTTTAATTCCACATGTATCCACGATAAGACTTGCACCCTCAATTCAAGAAGGGACGACAAACTAATAATAAATAGTCAAAATAGACTAATAGAGTGGAGTGTGGACTTGTAGTAATACATCATTGTAGTAATACAGCTACACATAACAGGGAGAAAGAGACATGATAGGCGTAGGATATGTATGGAATAAGAGCATCCACTATGTGTAACTGTGTGAGGTCCAAGACATATTTGAAGTACTCAAAGAATTTCTCTCCCATAGTGAGCTTATATTTAATCTGATGTGTCATGGACTCGGTCTTACAAATTGGACCACTTCAAGAGAGGATGAGTTCCCAACAAGTGGGTACATGATTAGACAAATTAAACTCAAACTTTCAAGTATAACCCTTTCTCTTATTTATATTCTACATATTATATCATATCCTTGTAATCTTGATATTTATTTTATACCTTAGAAACATTTTTTTTGATTTATCAAAAAAAGAAAGTAAAAACAAATAAATTACACCATTGAAAGATATGGTTGATACGTTGTAGATGAAGCCTATATTAAATATTGATGATGATGATATTGATTATTAATATTGATATTAGTTTTGTAATACATCATTGTAGTAATACAGCTACACATAACAGGGAGAAAGAGACATGATAGGCGTAGGATCTGTATGGAATAAGAGCATCCACTATGTGTAACTGTGTGAGGTCCAAGACATATTTGAAGTACTCCAAGAATTTCTCTCCGATAGTGAGCTTATATTTAATCTGATGTGTCATGAACTCGGTCTTACAAATTGGACCACTTCAAGAAAGGTTGAGTTCCCAACAAGTGGGTACATGATTAGACAAATTAAACTCAAACTTTCAAGTATAACCCTTTCTCTTATTTATATTCTACATATTATATCATATCCTTGTAATCTTGATATTTATTTTATACCTTAGAAACATTTTTTTTTGATTTATCAAAAAAAAAGAAAGTAAAAACAAATAAATTACACCATTGAAAGATATGGTTGATACGTTGTAGATGAAGCCTATATTAAATATTGATGATGATGATATTGATTATTAATATTGATATTAGTTTTGTATTTAATTTTTGAGTAAATTACACGAATGGTCCCTATGGTTTAGGGTAATTTGCACGTTTGGTCCCTAATTTATTTTTTTAACTCGGAAGGTCCCTACTGTTTGTTTTTGTTACGCGCTTGGTCCCTATCTTACCTAAAAAGACTATTTTGTCCTTGATTTTTTAATTTATTTAAATAAACACACCACCAACCTCACCCCTCACCTTATTTTACCTACCCCACCATTTTTTCCTATTCAAATAATAGTCTTTTTAGGTAAGACAAGGACCAAGCGCGTAACAAAAACAAACAGTAGAGACCAAGCCCGTAACAAAAACAAACAGTTGGGACCTTCCGAGTTAAAAAAACAAGTTAGGGACTAAACACACAAATTACCCCAAACCATAGGGACCATTCGTGTAATTTACTCTTAATTTTTATAATAAACTAAAAACAAGTATAAACCTTTTATTTTCAATTTTTTTTAAAAGATTTAGAAACCATGACTTGTTTTTTTTTCTATCTTTTTTGTCATATATCTCTCTCTCTCTCTCTCTCTATATATATATATATATATATATATATATATATATATATATATATATATATATATTTTGTTTGTTTATTTTATTATTTAAAATAAAAATAAGTTAAAATATAAATAAATGACTGTTACTCATTTATTAACCTGCAATTTTTTTATAAATAATGAAGATAGTTTATAAAATATTAGAGCTGACAAAAATCGATTTAATCCGAATTCAATCCAAAATTAATGAGTTGGGTTGAGAATTTCAATCCATTTAAGTTGAATGGGTCAACCCGTTCAACATATTTAATTAAATAGGTTGAGTTGGGTAAAAATTATCAACTCGTTTTCAATCCGTCAATCCACTTAACTTTAATATATATTTAATTTGATAATTATTTGAATATTATCATGTATTAATCAAAGTATTAATTTATAAATTATAATGTTGTATTATTATTTATGATTAAAAAATACAATCAGAATTCTCATCTTTATTTTAGTACCAACAATAGTAACTCACCAAAATCACTTTGAAATTAAACATTTTCAATGTTATTTGAACAATTTATATGTATTTGTGAATTAGGATTGTGATTTTGTCATACTTTGAAATTTTATTTATGTTTGCAACTAATTTAAGTGGTGTAATCTTTGGTTGATTTGTTTATTATTATTTTTTATTTTAGATGGATTAACCTAAGTTTAATCAATTTACATAAACATGTCAACCCGGTGAGAATTAATTTATCTAAAAGGATGGGTTAGATTGAAAATATCAACTTATTTAAATAAACAAATTGAATTAGTAAGTTACACTTGAAAACTTCTACCCAATTAATAAATGGATTGAAAACAAATTGAAGCTCTATAAAATATACATGTTTATGAATCGGTGATATGTACTATAAAAAAAATAAGTTTGAATATGTGAGGAGGCTGTAATGTAGCTAATAGTACAACTTTCAAAGAACAAGGTACAACATCCCACTGCCAGTAACTTCTTTTCTCTTTGACCGATTCTTTTTTGCTTTCCATTTGACTCTTCGACATTCACCCTATTTTAGGCTCCTTTTTTAGTTCAATTAATCTACAGTTAAAATCATAGCTAATAATATAACCTGCAATTCACAAGGTATAATTAAGTCCACATGTGAAATACAAGGTCCAACATTAGAGATGAAACTCATCTGAGATCCCAACCTCGATAAACCATGAATGGCATGCCGGCCAACAAAACTTAGTATTGTCTCCCTTGATTTTAGTTAAGAAACACACACATACAAACGTACGTTAACATTATCTAAATGAAATTCGGAAAGGAATTTACTTCTCAGATGGTGCCTGAATGGGAGGAAGCTTACATGAACTACAATTACCTCAAGACAATCTTGAAAGAAATCTCGACTTTCAGGCGACGGAGGCAGCAGAACCAGACACCTCCACCGCATTTCTCGTCACCTAAAACATACGTCTTGAAAAGGAGATCTTTTTACAGAGCTTTTAGTGGATTGACGAATCGATATAACAATGAGGACGAAGCATATAACAACGAGGACGAAGCGATTCTTGCGAGTGAAACAGAGCTGGAAGAACAACCAGCGGAGTGTCGGAGTCACCAAACTCATGTGTTTCACCGGTCATCGGAGGAAGGAGCAGAGAATGAAGTTGTGTTCTTCAAAGTACTTGATGATGAATTTAAAAATGTGAACAGTTTCTATAGAGGCAAGGTGGAGGAGGTAGTGATGGAGGCTGAGGAATTGAACAAACAAATGGATGCTCTCGTTGCTCTTCGAGTCAAAATCAATGATCCCCATTTTCAGACTTCATCTACACCATTCAACTCAGGTGTATACTCATTCAAGAACAAGATGAAAACATATGTTGTTTAGATATTGTTACTAATTTTGAATGTTTTAAGGTCCATCGCCATTGGAGGAGATTGACGAACTTGAAGAAAGACCAGAAAGGGAACATAATAAGATGGTTTCCTTAGAAATTCTAAATAGCGTAAAGATCAATGTCATACAAGAATCTGCCATATCCACCTTGAAAAACATTTTAATTGGCACAAAATCCGACTTATCATTCACCAAAGAAGAACTCAGAAATGCACAGACGAAACTGAGACAGGCTTTTGTAGAGTTCCACCGAAAGCTTCGCCTTCTGAAAAGCTACTCGTAAGCCCTTCTGTTCGATTGCCAATCAACATAAACAAAATTGCTGAGTTTTCTTTCTCGTTTCACAGTTTCTTGAATCAATTGGCCTTCTCCAAGATCATGAAGAAGTACGATAAGGTCTTGAATTCTTGATTTTGATCATAACCTGTGTTTGTATGGCGGGGGATCAAAATTTGACATTTTTTTTAATCATTGGTGTAGATCACATCAAGAAACGCCTCAAAAACTTATCTACAAATGGTTGAGAATTCTTCTTTCGGCCAATCTGATGATGTAAGATTCAAGAAGCCGCCATTGTTTTGCTTTAAATTTACAGATTAATCAAGATTCGATAAGTCCCATGATTCTTTTGGGTCTAATTTCAGGTTGTGAAACTCATGGAGAGAGTAGAAGCAGCGTTCATAAAACACTTTTCCAATGCAAATCGGCGTCAAGGAATGAGAGACCTGAGGCCAAGATCTAAAAGAGACAAACATCGAATAACATTTTTTATTGGTAATTAAGTTATCGTTTACCTTAGAAATTACAAAACATTCGTGAATGTTTGTTAATTTTGATCTAATGTACAACTTATCCATACAGGTTGTTTTTTTGGATGCTCGATAGCACTTGCAGTGGCAGTTTCCTTAACGATACACATTAGAGAACTTCTCATAAGTGAAGGGCGTGACCAATACATGACCAACATATTTCCATTATACAGTTTGTTCGCATACATCATATTACATATGCTAATGTTTGCTGTAACTGTATACTTTTGGAAACGTTTTCGTGTCAATTACGCCTTCATTTTCGGATTCAAGCCAAATACAGAATTGGGTTATAAAGAAATCCTACTTCTCACATCTGGTTTATCAGTACTCACTCTTGCAGCAGTGCTCTCGAATCTTGAAATGGAAATGGACGAAAGAACTCAAAGTTTCAAAGCCATCACAGAACTTGTCCCTCTAGGATTGGTGATTGTAAGTAATTCCTATAGTTTGCTCAAGTCTCTCAAGTCTCAAAGTCTCATCACTTCTATGAAGTTGTAACTTGTGTTTTGCAGGTTGTACTTGCGATAACATTTTGTCCGTTTAACATCATTTATCGAACAAACCGGTTCTTCTTCATCACGTGTATATGGCGCTGTGTTTTTGCTCCTCTTTATGAGGTCACTTTCCCCGACTTCTTTTTGGCTGATCAGTTAACCAGTCAGGTTCAGTTACTCAGGATTTTGGAATTCTATGTATGCTACTACGGTTTTGGAGACTTCAAGAGGAGATCAAATACATGTACCCAAAGTGATGTCTATCAGATTCTTTTTATATTAGTCGCGGTTGTCCCTTACTGGTTTCGCTTTCTACAGGTAACTTAACTGATGAAATTTAGTGGTTAATTATGAAAGAAAGATTTTGCCCCGTATATTGTTAGAAATTAAAAAAAAAATGGAGTGGGCTCATTGCCTATATAAGGAGCGCCAAATTTTAGTTTCAAAGTGTTTAAATCAATATATTTTTGGTATTCATATAGGGAATTTCTCCTTGAGGAGAGATTTGTCTATATGATTGTAATAATTTGTTAAAATGTAGTATGAATTTTCTCTATAATTTTGGGAGGGATGTTGGGAATCTTTGAGACCATTTTCATTACATAAACTTTTAATTTGGTGTTTTGTGTTAGTGTGTTCGACGAGTGTGTGAACAGAAAGAGTACAATCAAACCGCAAATGCACTAAAGTACTTGTCGACAATTCTTGCTGTTATTACAAGGACGATTTATGTTCAAAATAGAGGAATGAGTATGAGAATCATTGCTGCAACAAGTTCAGGTGTCGCTACAATTTTCAACACCTACTGGGATATCGCGAAGGACTGGGGTCTTCTTTGTAGGAACTCCAAGAACCCGTGGTTAAGAGATAGACTCATTATATCAAATAAATCAGTCTACTTTGTAGCAATGGTATAAATATTATATATCGTAAACCATATCCTTTTTGGCTTTCTTTAGTTTATGAGATTTGTTCATGATTTTGTAGGTATTAAATGTGATACTAAGACTTGCGTGGATGCAAACGGTGTTGGATTTCCATGAAGCTCCTGCACTGCATCGAAGCATGGTGATATTTATGTTTGCTAGTTTGGAGATCATTCGTCGTGGCATATGGAACTTTTTCAGGTTGGAAAATGAGCATTTGAATAATGTAGGGAAATTTCGAGCTTTTAAGTCAGTGCCGTTGCCTTTTAGCTACGAGGATGGAGACAAGGAACTATGATTTATTATGGAGAAAAACCAAAGTGTTTGTAGCCTAACTAAGTGTTTTGTGGCATAATGGTATCAAGTGTGTTGAAAAGCTGCCCCTCAACTAATAGGTCGAGCGTTTAAGTCTCATGATGGACAGTAAGATTAGTGATATGTGAGCCATTAAAAAAGATTTATTATGGACAAAAAGAAAAAAAAATGACAATTGTATATGATTTCCAATTCAAATAAGGTATATCCAATTTGCAACTTATAGAAATTCGTAGATATATGTGTTATAATTTAGAAAAATACACATATATTTAAACTCTCACCCCAACCTCACGAGGGGTGAGAGTTTAAATACCATGTTTGCATATTCTCATGTAACTTGAAAGAAATATAAAAAATACGGGTTTTTTTTATTAATTTTGTTTGCCACCCTATTAAAATCCTATAGAACATATATTTTCAAGGATTTATGACGATGCCAACGCCCGGAAGAATGTTAAAGGCACAATATAAGAGGGTAGATGCATCACTAGCCCTTAAAGCATAATATAAGAGGATAGATGTATAACTACCCCTTATTAGTTGTCATGCATGCCTCTCTAAAAACTAAGATGATGTTATCAGTGTGACGATGCTTGGGGGGGGGGGGTGGCACAACATAAATTTTATATTTTTAAGACAAAGCTTATGTTTGCATATTCTCCGTCACTGCCACCACCCCTCCACTACCGCCTCCACCATGTCGCCACCGTTACCACCTCCACCACTGCCTCCACATCCACTACCACCACCACCACAGCCTCCGTCACTGTTGCCTCCGCTGCCACCACCACCACCTCCAAACTCCACCACCACGTCTACCTTCACCCCTACCACTACCTTTAACCATCGTCATCACCGTCACTGCCACTACCACCACCTCCATCACCACCAACACCTCTATCACCACCGGCACCTCCGCTTATCACCTCCACTGGAGGCGGTGATGGAGGTGGTGGTGGCAGAGGCAGTAATAGAGGTGGTGGCAGTGACGGAGGTGGAGGTGATAGTGGTAGTAAAGGTGGTGGTGCTGATGGTGGAGGCGGTGGCAGTGGCGGTGGTAGAGATGGTGGTGGTGACAACAACGATGACAAAGGCAGAGCTAATGATGAAGGTGGCGGTGGCGAAGGTGGAGGTGGTGGATGTGGAGGTGTAGGCGGTAGTGGCGACGAAGGTGGAGGTGAAGTGGTGGTAATAGCGGTGGTGGTGACGGAGGTGGAGGTGGTAGTGGTATTAGAGGCAGTGACGATGGTTGTGGTGGTGTAGGAGGTTGTTGGAGGTCATGGGAGAGGTTTTTTTGTTCACATTTGGTCATTTTCTTTTTGTACACTATATAACATCTAACTTTTTGAACTGTTCACGTATTACCTTTTTACCTATGGTATCAGGCCACAATGGTTAAATGTGAACAACTTCAATAAGTTTGATGTTATATAATGTACAAAAAAAAGGCACTAAATGTGAACAAAATCAACTTCAATAAGTTTGATGTTATATAATGTACAAAAAAAGGCACTAAATGTGAACAAAATCAATAGTTCATTACCCTCAGAAGTCATTTTCCCAAAAAATATGATGAATACCTTCATTTTCTTTACTAATCTTAATTATGTCAATTTAAATGTAACTAACCCACTAAACTTTAAAAGTTATTGGTATGTATATTTATATAGTTATGACAGATGGAAATTGATTAATTGAATGGAGCATAGCAACCAAATAAGATCAAAACGAAAACGTCCGTAACATGAGGTTTTTAGTTATTTATTTATAGTATGTTTTACTCTTTTAAACTTTTAAACATGACTAAGTCGCATTTGGCAAAATTAACTATTGGTTGGTAGCAGGTAACTGAAAGCTAAAAGTTGTACATTTTATTTGTTATATGTAGGGGTGATCATGATGTCGTGCGGTGCGGTTTTTTGATCAACCCGAACCGCAAACTGCAAGTTGCGATTATTTATAGGGAAAAATCAAAATTTGCGGTTTTTATTTGGTGTAGTTTTGTTGTTTTTTTTGCGGTTATTTCAGTGTGGTTTTTGTTTTTAGCCGAAAAATGAGTTGCTGCGGTTTTGTGGTTAAACTGGTGCGGTTTTTCATGTCCAAGCTAAATTTTTGCTGACTTTCATTTAAAATGGTGCATAATTTTGTTGACTTTCATTTATTTCTAGATTTTTGTTGTAAATAATCACCATTTTGGCCTATTTTATTCTTGCAAGTTGCGTTTTATTATGTTATATTTGCTTTATTTCCAAACAAGGGTCGACGTCGGACGAAGGCTAGGACACACAACCATGTACATGAAGTGAAGAAGGGATTTTGAGTTTTTGCATCTGTGTCTATAATCCTGTTTTATGAAATGGTGTGGTTAAAATGGTGCGGTTTTTCATGTCCAAACTAAATTTTTGTTGACTTTCATTTAAAATGATGCATAATTTTGTTGACTTTCATTTATTTCCAGATTTTTGTTGTAAATAATCACAATTTTGGCCTATTTTATTCTTGCAAGTTGCGTTTTATTATGTTATATTTGCTTTATTTCCAAACGAGGGTGGACGTCGGACAAAGGTTAGGACACGCAACCATGTACATGAAGTGAAAAAGGGATTTTGAGTTTTTGCGTCTGTGTCTATAATCCCGCTTTATGAAAAGGGTTTTTGTCTTTTTGATAAAATTACATTTTTATTAAATAAATATCATACAAAATATAAATTTAATATATATAACAAATATGTTGCGGTTATTTCGGTTATTACGGTGCGATTATACAGACTAAAATCGAACTGCATCGAATTTGCAGGTTTTCTTTTTTAAATTAAAAACAACACCATCGGTTTTATGTTTGGTTTCGGTTTTTCGGTTATTTTACGGTTTTTCGATTTTCGGTTCGGTTTTTGCTCAACCTAGTTATATATGAATGTTTGACAAAAGTAGCTAGCAGTTTTTGAAATGTGTAAAGTACATAAAAGAACAATTGTTTTAAAAATATAAATATATAAATTCATTTTTAAGGGCAATTCTAAAAACTGATTTAGAAAAGCTCAATAGTTTTTTCTTAAACGTTACATGAAGTAGTTTTGAGATTTGAAGTTTTTTGTTTAAACTAAATGCTAAACGTCTGTATTCCCAAACGATTTTTTTTGTTTAAATCAAGCTTTTGTTAAAAACTAAAAACTAGAAGCTTCCAAACGCTCGCTTCCAAGCACACCCTTAAGCAGTATATTTGCATTATATATTAACATTTTATTTTATTTTATTATATGTTTTGGAACAACAAACATACATACCCTGTACATTACTCCCAAACTATTTTTTTTTTCGGACAAAACTTAAACCCTCAAATTATTTATTTATTAATAGCTACTATAAAGATGAAGCCCAGTTTAATCATAATAAACAACAACGCCTAGCCCATATAAAGTTGAAGCCCAATTGCCCGAATAAAAGTGCCCTAATTTTGGGACTTAAGTTCATCTACAAATATTCAGCCAACATCTCGGTTTAATTAGTTTTTCTTCTCTCTAATATCGCCGCGTCCATTGAAGCTGTTGGTATGTTTAATTTCTCACCTGCAATTCTTCTTTCTATTTTCCATTATTGAATTTGAATAAGATTCACGTAATTCATAAAGCACAAGTACTAAGGCATCGTAATTACAAAATAAGGTTTACGATAGCCTGTTAATTTATTGTGCAATAAAAAGCCATGGGAACCGCTTTGCAGCCTTGATAAATCTCTGTTCATTGCTGCCTGTATTGCCCACACAATTTTTATTTGATGTCAGATTTTCGTTAAATAGTTATACTGATGTGGAAAGTACGTTTGTGAAAATTAATGGCAAAAAAAGAATTAATGATAACTTGAATTGAATCGTTAATGGGCAAACACAATCAATTCTAAAACAAAGTAGTCTGCATCTCTTTAATCATGACAGATACTGTGGTCCTTCGATTACTAATTGATCTATTTTGTTTCACAAATCAACCCCTTTACTTAGATATTTCGTTAAAGCGTTCAAGTTTAAGATGATCAACGTTTTGTATAAAACTTGCATCCTAAAACTTTTATATAAATGATATCTATCTCTTAATATTCATATAATTTGGTGGTCTGTTTGTTATTTATTATTATTATTTTTGCGAATTTCAGTACCTTTTTATACACATTAACTCGATAAAGATGGTACACATAAATAAGTTTACCGCGTACCATTATGAATGTCTGATGTAACTCATGTACGATGACAACCATAGATAATATAGCGAGTAAAATCAAGCGCAAAAATCATCACTCAATTTTGGTATAAAATCAACCAATTACAATGTGATTTCATAATGGTCGTTGAGGACCTTGTGCCACAAGAACTTGCTAACTATTCGAACCGATTGTGATGAGGCTTTGGTTACCTGCCAAATATACAAAAAGTCAAAATCTTTTATGATTACATATTACAAATTGCAAATAAAACATTCATTCAAAACAGGTTGTTAAATATGCACATGTGAAATATTTTGAAAAAAATTAATTATAATTTAAGACATTTGTCATCATTTCAATGGATATAAAGATAATTTGAAAGAAAAATAGGATAATATTTAATTTTTCTTAAAATAATGTTTAACTGGACATATTTAGAAAGTCCATTCAAAACAAGTCATTATCTATTTAATAATGTTCAATGGGCATAATTTAGAATGTCCATTCAAGACAAGTCATCCATTTAATAATGTTCAACGAGACATAATTTAGAATATAAATTCAAAACAAGTGATCCATTTAATAATGTTCAAGGAGACATAATTTAGAACATCCATTCAAAACAAGTCATCCATTAATGTTTCCATTTCTTTTGGCTCTACCTTGTAAAAGACGGGAAATTTTTTGTAAGAACTAAAAGTCGCCATAGTATATTATTACCCATTGGAAACTTGGCAACATTATACGACCCGTGTAAATTAGGCCTTGAGAAACACACACTGTGTAACGGTAATGCTTATGCGACCCAAGTTTTGTTTGATCA